ATCCATTCGGCCATATAATTGATGTAAAACTTCAATTAGAGTACCTTAAAAAAAAGTTTAGAGGAAAGGGAACAAAAGAGGCTCGAATGGGGCTAGATCATGACTTCGGTTGATGGCAACGGCCTCGGCTTTTGGCTGGAAAGGACCTCTGAAATGCTCGAAGTGGTTCGAAACTTAAAGCTCTCAATCCTCCTCTGTTCAGGTTACCCGGTGCTCACGTGAAGACAGCTGCGGCGAGCTCTCGGTTGCTGCGGGTAAAGAAATTCTGAGGGCTGGGGATTGATTGCTAAGCGTTATGTCATCTTTCTTTGGTGTAATTGATGTAAATCCAAAGGCATAAGTAAGATGAAGGCTTCAGGTGGTGAGGGGAATTTATAACGTGGGTTAGCCTTTTGAATTTTAAATGAGATTGAGAGGTGATGGAGACTTGAGGTGCGAGTCTGATGGGGGTTTGTTATGACCTGGTCATTATTTTCTTGTTGGGGCTGGTGATGGAGCTGAGGAGAGTGCTACTGGGGTAAAGAAAATCTGAGAAAATTGAGGGAGTGGGTTAGGGTGTGCTTGGACTTGTTCTTGTGTTATATCAACACTTTAAATGTACTAAAGGGCCGAATTACTTATAAAAGAAAGGTACAAAACGTAGGCAAAATACTTGGGAAAATTTCGAGACTTGGGCAAGAAAATAGAACTTAGGCCAAAATTACTAATTAGGCTCTAGAACAAAATCAGTTTAGGCTCCAAAATAGAAAATGGCCGAACTTAGCTTGAATTTTCGAAAATCTTTGCCATGCGTAACTTAGTTAACTTAGGAAAATACAATAAACGAGCACACGAACAATTAAGCGAGTTAAAGAAATAATTAAGCAATTAGACAATTAATAACTAAGCAATTAAACTATTAAAACAATTTAATCATATAAACAAATAAGAAAATTAGGTAGACGAGGACATCTACTTAATTTGATTATTGGATTAATTCATTTAAATGCAAAATCGAGCTAAAAATGAAATGCAAGTGGTCTTATTCTATTATTCATAAAACGGGGCGTTACAATAATAATAATAATAATAATCTACACCATTCTCCCCCGGTTTGGAAGGCTTCGCCCTCGAAGCTGATGCGCACCCGTGCCCGGCGTATGGTGTCGAACCATGGTAGTAACTCCCGTCATTTCCCTCGGTCGAACACGGAGGTTGAATGCCTCACTCCCATGGTATTACCCCCTTGAAAGTCATGGAAACACATATATGCAGCATTCACACACATAATTTTGAAGTCACCGTGGGAACCAAAACACAACATCTGTTTGCAAGGTCGCAACAAATTCACGTAGGAGAAAAGCTCGGGCCTGCACAATAGATTAACTACCAATTGACACCAAATTCTTCCAATAGCTGAATTTTGATGCCCGAAACATGATTGAATTCCTCCGGGCCCGAAAGCTCCTTATCGAAAATCAGCGGACCGTCGTAGAGACTGTCCACTTCACCGGTAAGACGCTCCTTCACCTCCTCGGTTTCTTCATACAACACCGGTGGACCATCGTACAATGGTCCGTCAACTTGCTCTTCGTCGAATTCTGGGATGTCAACGCAAAACGG